ATTTTCTAAAGTTCATCATAAAATCTAAGCAATCCAACTAATTTCATGAGATTGTTTATGTTTAATTCTGCTAATGCTGATACTACTCCTGATAATACTTCTGGACATATATAGTATGATTCCCTAGGATCCTAGGTCTACTCACAAGTGTTTTCTAGGGCTAGGATTGTAGCTCATAGATAATAGGTGTGCTTAACATGCAGTTAGCATGTGCAAGTCTCCCTGGATTTATGTAAGATGGAGAAACACAGAAGTTCCCCTGGACTGGTAGACAGTTTTGTTACTTGGCCAGGATAACAAAGCCACATTTTTGTGGGCTTAAAAAACTGTTTTTTGGAGTTTCTGAACTATCACATAAACCCAATGAGCATGAAAAATCACTCCATGTGATGTGAGTGTCAAGAGAATTCTTTACAAACATGAACAAAGGCTACCTTTGTATTGCTAGTAATAAAATGCTTTATCTCTGACCCAGGAATAGCATGCCTTCTGACACAATCTATGAAATGACGGCAGTCATGCAAATAAAATTTCAGATCCTTACTAAAGAAAACAATGTCAAATAAGAAAACGATATAATAAAGATAAACATATACATACAATGATTATACATCTCTAGATGCACTGTTAAGCAAAAGAAAAAATAAGCTAAACACCAAAAAATGAGATAAGAGAATATGATGCTTTTTATAAAAAAGAAGAAACAGAATTACACAATTGCATGTACATACATGCACAGGCAATTTTTTTAAAAGCCCAGGAATGATAAAGAAGAAGTCAGAAAAACTAGTTACCTATAGGAGTAGAGAAGAACAGGCTAGAAAGGTAGAGAATACCATTGTGCACAATTTTGACACAGGGAAACAGGTTCCCATCCTATATACTCAAAGATATATTAAATCAGCAAGAATGGCAACAAATTCACTTAAACTTAGACAATATAACTATATTTCAAATGAATATCATAAGTACACTCAATTGTGCATGTGGTAGGGGGTGAACTACAAATAAATCTTGAACCTGGTTTTTTTTTTTTTTTTTTGGTCTTTTTCCTTTTTATCAGGACCAGGGATCGAACTCACGATTGCCTGCTTGCAAGGCAGGCACTCATGCCGCTGAGCTAAATCCCCAGCCCTTTGAACCTCTTTTAGTAGGAATTGCTTTTTACAATTACTCTTATAACAATTCTGAAACTATGTGTATATAACTAAGAAAATGAGTAAAAGTCATGGCATTGTTAGCAAACAGTTTCTTGTTTTGAATAAAGAGAAACACAAGCATGAAATAAGAGGTATCTGGATTGAAATCAAAGGCATTACTATGATTTGACCTTTGTTAATACCATATACGTTTATCCATCTGTCAACTACTATGTACCTACCTACTAATTTGGACTGATACTTGTAAGGATAATGAAATCCCAGATATAACAAGCATATCACATGTTGATATTCAAATACCTGTACCCTGCAAAATGAAACAAGGTAAGCTGAAGAATGGGAAAGACGGAGTATAAATAAGTCTGGATTATCTTGCTGCGAGTGAAAATTATAAAAAGGAGGTGAGGGGAAGAAATGAGGAGGATGATAAGAAAAAGAAATGGGAAGAGAAGAGGAAAGTGGAAGAGGACATGAGAGGAGGGAAGAGAAAGAAAAAGGTACATCAATCTTTGAAAGGAATCTTTGCGCAAGTCTAAGATAATGTAAACATCAAAATAAATACATGAAGTATATAACAGACAGTAAACTACTTAGTAAAATAATTAAAAGTTCACAAAATAAAAATAGGTGGCTCTTCTGCACAGTAGAATGCTAGCTGCTAATATGAAGGAGCAGTAAAGTTAGAAAATCTGCACTTTGTAATGATCAGGCAAGAATTACCAACGGATAGCACAGCAATAATCATCAAAGTTTCTGTCTAGAATTTTAAATGGACATAGGATTTATGGACTTTAAACATAAATTTTTAAAAAAGAAAATAAAATGGTATTGGAAGAAATGATATGCTAGACAACCCCTAGAAAATTTGGCAACATGGAAAGAAAACAACAATAGAACAAAGGCTGATTAAGGTCCTGAAAGATTTAAAGGATTCAAGTAAAGAAAATCAGCCTATGAAGAAGATGCAAGGAACAGTCCATCCATTCCATACTTCATACACCTGTGTTCTCTTTTCCAGGGTTCACATAGGTATTACCCTTTAAGGGCCCATAAATATACCACAGAAAGATAGCACCACTACATGTTTCCTGGTGGCAAGTATAACTCAGTTATATATGCCACTTTTTAAAAATTTACATTGCCTTTTTTACTCTCTTTTAGCATTCAAACCATACCAATTTTGTATGATAATCGAAATAAATAATTTGGAAAGCACAAAGACTACAGTAGGCTGCATAAATAAGAGATCAATTCCAAATGTATAAGATGCTCTTATTTAATTTCACATCATGTATCTTTAAAATCAATCAACTACAATCACTACTTCTAATTGTATCTGGCTGTATGGCTAATTTAAACAAGGGCTATACATGCTAGAATGCTAGAACTCCTAAAAAGTCTGCTCAGTGACTGGGGTTTAGTTCAGTGGTGTTAAGTGCCTACTTTGCAATTGCAAGGTCATGAGTTTGATCCCTGGCGCCCAGAAAGAAAATAGAAAAGAAAAGAAAAGAAAAGAAAAGAAAAGAAAAGAAAAGAAAAGAAGACAAAAGAAAAGAAAAGAAAAGGAAAGAAAAGGAAAGGAAAAAGTTTGCTCAGTGGGAAAGAGAAAATCATGAGAGTTCAAGATGTTAGATGGAACAGATTTTATTAATAACTAATTCAGAAACTGTGAGTTCACCTCCTTGCAAGCATAAACCTTATAAACCTTATACAAGTAATGAAGAGTATCATTAACTAGAGGATTATTAATGCATGCAGATAGTTTCAGCTATATTAATAGTTCATAGTGGGTCAATCACAATGTAACTTACAGTCCTTTGAACAACCTAAATAAACATTACAATTATTTGCTTCCTAATACCTTAATTGTATGGTAACTCTGGCTCTCTCATCCCTAAAATTCTTAGCTTTGAAATATATTTGAGGTGCATAACTCAGATAAAAAGGAAACAATTTAGGATTAAGAATAGAGAATTGATTAATATACTATTATCACTGATGTTACTAAGTAGCTTTGCTTTATCAAAGGTTTTAAAATACTTTTTAGCTAGACAATCCTATTTAAAAGTTCAAATAGAATGTGGTGGTGCATGCCTATAATACTTGCACTCCATAGGGTGAGGCAGGAGGATCACTGTAAATTTCAGGCCAGCCTGGGCTAGAAAGTGAGCTCAAGTCCAGCCTGAACTGCATAGCAAGACTCTGTCTCCAAAAAAACAAAAAACAAAACCAAACCAAAAAATCAAAACTCTGAAAGATAGGTAAAAATGGAAAGTGGAACAACTTTGGTTGCATGAAGTAGTGGGAGTCCTGGGTTATTGCCTCTTTGACATTGCTTTCTCGGCAGTTAGAAACCAATTGCTACATAAGATTGTGTATGAAGCAGTTGCTAAAAATAAGATCCTACTGTAAGTATAGAAATATGACACTGACATACAAAAAATCAAACTATTTTTTCCAGAGGGAAGGAATGAAGCCTTTTAATAAATAATTAATGAGAAATTTTACCATTTTACATTATGGTAGCACAGTAGCTGTTTTTCCTTGTTATAAACCTCTAAGTTGATACTGGAATGTAATGTTTCAGAATAACATTTTTAGTCTAATGTGCTTACGTCATAAATGCTGGTGCTATTAGGAAGTGATAAATACAGGTTCAGGAATTACTTCATTATGATGACAATAATAATATTATTTATTTCTAACCCTGACAAATCCACAGTTTAAATTTTTTAACTAGGTAATTATATCTTGCATTTTAAAAAGTCAATGTATAAATTTTAGGAACACTTTTGTTTTTTTTTTTCTTTTTTTGTATCAGGAAATGAACTCATGACCTCTCATGCTTGCCAGGCAGATGCGTATTCTTGGCCCTAGGAACACTTTTAAAGTTCTATGATTTCTTGGTTTCCTTTAGCTACTAAAGGAAAACCAAAAGTCCCTTCCAACTCTGAAATTTTTGTAAATCAAAATGAGTCTGCCTATGCTATTTTTTTTTTTTTTTTGGTGGAAGCAGAACAAAAGCACATTAATAGTTAACAAAACTACAATATCATATATGAATGAAGTCTTGCATTTAAAAAGTACTCAGACTGTATTTACAAAAGAATCTCTTCCATTAATTATTCAACAGTTGAATTTAACTAGAAACCAGAGCATGACTTTATTATAATGGTCTGTTTAAATGAACTACTTAATATTGTAGTGAACACTCAAAATAGTGAATTTCAGATCAGTAATCATATTACCATTTTTCAAATTTTTAGATCACTGGAAAGATTTTAATGTTAAATCACTTTGTTTTACTTGTTCTTTAAAAATGTTTACTTAAACCAAAAATCCTACATTATTTATTTATATTCTAAAATTGAAATGTAGTTTAAACAAATGCATTATTCATAAAGCAAAGACATCAAGAAAAACAAAGCTGTGTACTTCTTTCAATGCTGTTAAATTACTAAAACATACCATATTTATGCATGCAATATTTGATTGTTTTTTTTAAAACACAAGCTTGTTTTTGTCAGAACAGGATATGCCAAAATTTTTTACCAAACAATTTTTGCTTACAATTAAAGCAATCATCAACCCAAGAATTGCCATTCATTTTATTTCATCTCTACATCAGAAAAAAAAAAAAGGTAATTTAAAAAAAATTAAATCCCTTGAAATGATAAGATAAATGAAAGTGCAAGTGCCTTCACATAATAACAGTAAGCTGACCCTTTGGGAAATGGTTGACTTTCTCAATACAACACAATCAAAGCTCATTCAAAAGTGTTCATTTAGAATGCAGATATCAAAGATGATGCAAATCTTCAAGAGAAAATTAGAACTTACCAGATGTTCTAATCCAGCTTTGATGTTTCCAGTTTCCCTAAAATAGAAGAATAAAAGTTCTAAAAAGTCGCTAAATCCTTGTGTGCTCTATTTTACGTTTATCTCAAAAAATATTTCTATGAACCTTTATTATTTTCACCTACTTTTACTAGTGGTCATAATACTGCTTTAAAAAATAAAACAATTTCCACCAGAAGATAACAAACTACGTATATCAAAAAGTATGACCTTTAAAATTGCTTTCTACTAACAGAAAAAAAGAGCTCTGATTTTTCAAAGTCAATGGAGAAAAACAATACCGAGTATCTTATATTAGTCATAATAATATTCTTATATAATGGCTTCTTTATTAAAGGTTATTATTTTCAACATTTTTATCAAAACATTCAAACTTCTAGATTCTGTCATCATCTAGATTATAAAATTAGCATTTTCGTTCATTTGCTATATCAAATATCCATTATTGTATTTTTATGAAAGGAAAATGACACTAAGAACGTGATTGTTAGTACACAAATAACTAAATCTAAACAAATTCTTTCCCAACACTAATTTCACTAATTTAGTGCTCACAATGTAAGACTGTTCCAACATCAAGAAACAAAATATCACCAATGAAAACACAAACAGCAAAAATCATGATATATTTTAAATATGTAATTTCTTGCTTTTTGCTAAGAAACTGCTGATGGAACTTAAAAAAAGCATCTATATAACTACCAAAGATAATTTAAATGTACATTTGGTATATATGTAAAATGTGGTAAATATTTGGATTTTTTTTCTAATTTCAATCTATCTTAATTTATTATTAGTGACAAATAGATTTTGACTTTTTAGTTCAATATAACTACCAAGCTTTGTCTTTTGTAACATGAAATTACATTTACAAATTGCAGAATGTAATTATAAAATCTCTAAAAATGAACATTATTATATTTATAATGCTTAATGTTTTCTCCAGGTCTCTGTTTCTCTGAGGAGCCCTGACTTCTTTTTCTACTTCTACCATCTAGTTCTTTGCTGAAAATATACTTATCCCTGTTTTCTTTGTTTTGCTGTACTGTCTTTCTAAATATCCCTATCTTACTCCCTTAAGGCTCTACTGCTTAAAAGTTATACTCAGTTTCCAACAATTGCTATCACTGCTTAGTCTGGACTATTAGATTAAATTTCCATTTCTACTGATTGACACTCATCTTTAGCCATTCTCTCCTTCAACATTCAATGTTTTAGAAATGTAAGGATTTTGGAAATTCATTCTCTAATCTTAATATTATCACAATTGTAGTGACAAATGACAGGGCTAAATTATCACAATGTATGAAAAAGCATCTATATAAATATTTCATTTTATCCACAAGGTTTGAAAAAAGGTCAGCATCCATATAAATATTTTAAATTTTATTATGAAATTAATGTTTTAATGAAGCTGAATTCAAATGAATCTCCAAGTTTTCACAGGACATTCTCATGGTTACTTGTATGACTCAACTTTTAAATTAAAAAAAAGAATAACATAATGAAACATTTGAACGGAATAATATATTGCAAATGTGTATGCATTTATACATATACATACATAACTTTTTATCTTATTAGTGACTCCCAGTTCTCAGACACTGATATTCTCTGTTTATTTGCAGGTGTGTGCCTATGTCTGTGTGTGTTTTTCCTCTTTTCTGTGTTACTAAGATCTCAAACAGAGGCATAATATATACTATGGTTTTTCACTTTATCTTGGAGTTGGTACTACTTAATACACATTTAAGAGGTTACATTGCCACATAAAGATTGTTACTAGAAAATAATGTTGCAATATAAAAAGAACAAAAATACTCAGATTTAAACAATAAGCCCACACTTCATTATCTAAAACTCTTTAGATTAAATATTATTCATCAAAATATTTTGGAATTTAGCAAGATTATTTACATATATTTTTATATATAATGCTGCCAACAGGTTCTAAAACACCTTGCCATCATTATGCACATTCTTAATCTGAAAGACACATGTGAATTCCACACAAAGTATTAAAAACAAAAACTATAAAAAAATAGCCTCATTTTAGGGTAATCATTGCTGTCAACTCAACGAGTTTGTCACAAACTTAGGGTAAAAAACATCTCTCAGTTTTCTGAGCTACTTCATTTTAAAAGAGAAGATAAGCAACTGTTCTTCAAAACAAAAAGAAAACATAACCCTATGGCTCTGCTATGTTTCCAAATGATTCCTTAAATGTAAAAGTATTTAGAAAATATGTGTCTTGAATGGCATGCCAGGGAGAAACTAGGCATCATTTTGACATAGTTCCTTTCCTCACTACCAAATGACATCAACCCAGTTTCAGCTATCCAGCATCTTTAATTGTCATTGTGATCTAATGACTACTTCTATCTCCATAGCTAGAAAAGATCATCTCTTCCCACAAAAATTATTGCAATAGCTTCTTAATGGGTATCAGTGGCTCCTGCCTTGCCCCATGTCAAAGCATTTCCCATAAGAAAACCTTTCCAACACTTAAGTTAGCTCAGGTCAATCCCTTTCATAAAATTTATGGTAGACTATCTATTTCACCTCACTTTTCCTATTCTGTTATCTTACCAAAGTTACCTCACACAGAAAGTGACAGCAACAGCCATGACAAACTATTGATCTGGTTTCATTCACCACTGAACCACTGCTCTATCTAAATTGTTCCTTTTTTCCAAGACATCACTAATCTTCCTCATCTAGTTGACAAATGTCTTTTAGAACTCAACCTAAACTGTATCTCAATTGAGACTGTATCTCAATTTCTCCCCTCACACAAAGTAAAGTAGTAATTCTTCCCATATGTTTCCATAATACTGTGTGTATTCTATCACAGATTTTGCCATACTTTATTATAAATGCTTACTTACTTGCCTATGGAATCATTAATATAAAAACTCCTTGAGGGCATGCATTGCTATCTTTTAATTTCTACATTCTAGTATTCACTTACAATGCTTGAATCAGGATATATAACCAATTAATAAGAGTCTGACATCTGAACATAATGAAACAAGGTTGGATGAAGAGAAATTTCCCAGAAATAAAAAATTTAAAAACCTTCTAGAAAATAAACAGAAACTCCTTCATAAAGGAAAAACAGCAGTTGGCATAGTGGTACATGCCTACAATCCCAGCACTCTGGGAAGGTGGGGCAGGAGATGCACGAGTTTGAGTCTATCCTGAGCAATTCAGCAAGACCCTGTACCAAAATAAAACTGGGAATGCAGCTAAAGTGCAAAGGGCCTGAGTTTAATCCCAAGTACTTAAAAATTAAATAAATAAAAAGGGAAAATACAATTTACATCAGACTTCTCAACATTAATGCTGTGTGCAAGAAGACAATTGGAGTAGTAATAACGCTCAAAATCAGCCATTAAAGGAATTGAACTATTAATCTAGAATTTACATACACTCATATAGAAGAAAAAAATAAATTGTTAGCAGGACTCAGAAAATTCAGCCCACAAAGACATTATTTTAAAAATGTCTTGCATAATGTAACCCAGTGAGAAGAGAAATTCAAGAAGAAAAACAATATAAAGGCAGTAAGGGTTGGCCTAGAATTTAGTCATTACTCTAATCAATACTAAAAAGAGAACTAAGGAAATTTCACATTGTTCAGCTAGGATTAAAGTACTTAAGAAAATTCTCAGATAGGGGTTAGGGTGGGGGGGAGGTCCAGTAATGTGTTCTACACAAGAGACACATAAACCAAATGATTCAGAAATGTTTTCAAAAAGGAGATAGAGAAGAAGAAAAGAAAACACAAAACATGATGAGGTAAATATAAACCAACAAAAGGCGGACATGGCAACCTTAATGACAAAACCTATTTATGTACTCAACCTTCTCCATATAAATTTACATATAAAAAAGTTCTTCTATTTTAGTAAAAGATACTATATTAAGTAGTTTTCATTTACACTCAGAAAGTTTGCATGTACATGAATCTTAGCACTAAAACATTGGGACACCAAAGTTTGAGTAAGTTCTCCCCCAAAATCTATTTTATTTACTTTTACTTTGGGTCAAACCAAAGACATTAGACTCTTTAAAACAACATAGATAAAGTATCAAAAGTACATAAATGCAACACAAGATAGCATTATACAGTACGTAATACTAGTTCCAAAGGCAGAGTACCTAAATTTACATTTAGGCAGTACTGCAAAATAGCCACGTGAGCCTGGTAATTATACGACCTTCCCGAAACTCAGAATGTGCACCTATGGATGTGACGATTAAGGACCACTTGCTTTATCTATCACATAAGGTTACTGTGAGAAAGATACATAGGATATATAAAGGCCTATTGTAAATTTTAAAGTGCTATAGAAATATTATCACGGTTCACATTTAAACATAAAAGTTGTAAAAATGATTCCAGAATTTTTAATTTTTTTTTACTAGAAGATCTGGGACACTGATAGAGGAATCTTACAACAAATGGTATAAAAACTGTCCTCTTTAGTAGTCTGTCTCTTGGGTTGTCCCTGTCATGACTTCATCAATATTTGTGCAACTCCTTTTGCCCTGTGCTGAAAGCAGACTTAATTCAATTATAGGTCTCAAAACTGATAAAATGGTCCTGAAGTGGAGAATGGGAAGAGATTATTGGCAAATGAATAAAGATTTGTATCGAACTAACACACAGGAGTACAGCGGGTCTTTTTTTAATCATTCCCTGTCTTAAATCTTCTGGGAACCATGAGTTTCCCTTCCCCTCATGCAGCACATCGATTTCTGAATTAGACTGCAATATTAAATAATTAATATACTTGCCATGATTGATGTTCTGCATTAGTTGAATATTAGGTTATCAATCAAAATCCACTTGGTTTAATGTAATAATATTGAAAAAGTGTCACGGGTTGTTCATCCAATTTGTAGTTGAGGCAGCACAGATAGTAATGTTGGCTTAACACAAGGCTCTAACACAGGAAATGCAGTAGCTCAACACCGTAGGAGGCAGACATTTTGAAACTAACTAGGACAAGG